GACCAAATCAAACTGTGACGAATACCGCATACTCGGATCATCATCAACTAAACCAGGAATACACACTCTGACAATATTTGCGATTGACGATTGAACCTGATTCATGGCTAATTCGTCGAGTGTTTGCAATGTGTTAATATAACCAGTCATATATCATTTGGTGTTGTTAACTTGTGGTTTGGTGATGGTTTGATTGCAAGTGATTCCTGGACACAACACATTGCAAACCAAGCAACTTGACTACTTGAACGACTCAAATGACTCGATACTAACCGGAATTCAATACAATTGTTGAATAGCCCGTGTAATATCAGATCTAGTCAAGTCAACAGACAAGCCAACAGACACGACAGCCGATACAACTATATACAGCAAAAATGCGTTGGATTCATTTGTGATTGTATACTCATCAATCTTGAATGACAGTGTTTGTGCAGTTTTGGATATAGGTTGTATGGATATTGCAACAAACCTGTAGTATTATAGTATGACTGGAATATACTACTATTGGATCAAACAACATAACAGTCCGATATAATGTCAAATATATATGTGCATAGAATGGTCACCAAACCTGATCGGTTGTGTATCAGTCATAAACAACTACCAATTAGCAACAAGTGTCATTCGTATACATTGACAGAATTACTACAGACAACACCAACAATTACAAGATTACGTGCAATATATCAAGAATTGTGACATGGTTTCAATAAACCAACAACAACTGAACAAATGACATTGCAATGATTATTCACAAAACAAGGCAATCAAACGACAATGTTAGTGACAATTATGTTGGACAATATTCATGATTCAAATATCGACAGTCAAACATTGGTTAACCAACAGTTGTACGATTATACAACTGACCCGTGTATTGACAAGTGATCAACATTGATCCAGTCATGGTTAAAACGGTGTATCACAGGACTTGAAAGTTGACAGTATTGCTGTGGTGTAACATTAGCAACTACACACAACTTGACATGAATGACAATGTTGATGTCAAAACTGTCAATGTATTACAATGTATTGGTCAACAGTGACTGCAATCAATGATAATATTGCAGTCAATTCAATCCATGTGTTGATTGGAACAATCATTATCCACTTGTCAGATTCAGTATGTAAATGCATGTTTTGTAACACATTTACCAATCCAACAATTGACTGATTAACAATAATTGAATATTAAAATGTTGAATAAAAGACTCGAGTCATTATATGAATGACGTAATCAATTGTTGAGTTGAATTGACACTCGATTGAACAATACAAATAAACACAAAAATGCTTAAACACTATTCAAAGTGTGAATTTGTCTCACATTATTCACATGATATCGAGTTTTGGATTTAAAGTCGGATTTTTTCCTTTCTTTTCTTTTTTTCATTCCATTCCATTCTATTCTTATTCTATTCCATTCAATTCTTTCATTTCTCTCCAGTAAACTCCAATGGAAAACAAAGCATTCTACATTAAATATCTGGACTACCAGCCAGTGAAAATCGAAACCCACTTCAATGGAGAACTAGAGAGAAGAAGACCACTGACTGACGTTGGTGGCCTGGTTGCTGCTTACAAGACTGCTGCCATTCCCCTCCTTGCTTCTACCTTTGTTGGTGATATCACCATTCATTATGTGGTGAATGGGGTGGAGACCAACTACAACTCCTGGGACCCCATTGCTGCTCTCGGAACAAATGGTTCCTACGATCATCCACTGATTATTCGCTCTCTAAGAGATACTATCACTATGGACGAGCATATGGTTTGGTCTCTTCCTGAACCGGTGTATGACAATCCTGTGTCAAGACCCAACACCTCTGGCAGAATTTGGAAGAAGCCGACACATGTTTTCCTGTGGTCTGATTTTAAGCAAAGCGTTGTTGATTGGATTGGTGCTAATCATCATCAGCATTCTCAAAGAGTACAAAGACCTGTGTTTGTTTCTGGGATTATCATCACCGAAGAAGTTCAAAGTCTTCAACCCTTCATTCTCGACAATTTGCTCAATATCTCTGCCAAGTGTTTCATTCCTCCTTCTGAATTCAAGGCACGACGTCAAATCACAAGCTGCGTAGGAGAGCCAGATCATTTAATGACTAGAAATGGAGAGATTGTCGCCATTGTTGAAGAAAAGGGCAATTGGACCTTGCCTATCAGTGATATTGTCAATTCATACGACACAGAAAGGACACGTGCGTCTGCTCTTGACCAACTCTACCACTATATGCGATTGAACCACAGACAATATGGGATTCTGTCGTCATACGAAAACACCTGGTTTGTTTATCGAAATCAAGAATGTGCCGTTTGTGAAGAACCTCAAGTTCATGAAACTTTGTATGTTTCCGAGGGAATCTCCTTTACTGCTCAAACTCCCACTGTTCAACAATGCTTATCGTATTTCAACAGCATCGTCAATCACAATCATATGGATTCTCCCCCCGCATCAAAGCGTCCGTCTAGAGCTAGTTCTGCTACCCAAATCTCTCGACCAAGTAGTACTAGAGTATCTCCGCGTGCTAGTCTCTCCAGAGGATGCAGTTCTTTGTCGTCTGGAATTCAAATCAACGAGCAACCCCAAGACTTTGATGTTGATGATTTCAAATTTGATACAGTTCTTGGTGAAGGAAGAAGCAAAGTGTATTTGGATTACTATGGATCTAGCCGTATTGCTCTCAAGGTTGCTGATATTGCCAAGCACGGAGAAATGCTTCCAGAATTGCTGAATGAGGTTTCTGTGTATGAACAGCTATCGGGGCTACAAGGGAATGGCATACCTAGATTCGTTTGTCATGGGTTTGTGGAGGACGTTCTGTACTGTGTAGGTGTTTCTATCTGTGGTACGGTGGCCAATGGATTCACTGAACAGCAAAAGCAGAAGTTGTTGGAAACACTCGAAAGCATTCACGAGGCCGGTATTCTACATAACGATATCAAAAAGGAGAATATCTTGATTGATGAATCTGGGAATCCATATATCATTGACTTTGGCTTCTCTACACGAAATTGCTCCCCTGTTGCTCGAATGGAAGAAACAAACTTGCTCCTTAGTCTGGTTGAAAGTACTTGAGATAGTACATTTGGGTTGGAATGAATTAGACAATTATTTGTATGAATAAAGCACCGAGTCTTGACCATTATATTTGACATTGATTGTCCATGGCATTTTAGCATAAATCACCTGTCACAGGCGAGATCAACTCCAGACACTTTGAACAACTTTTAGCAGAGAGCATCTACCAAGAAAAGTAGTATCATTCAGTGCCCTATCTATACTACTATTGTTTTTTACATTTTCCACTGTTCAATACATACTGCGGTACTATTTCAAGTATTCCAAAACCAACTTGTAAATCAGACAATTGAAGATGAGTTTCATTTACGAAATATACATTTTTGAATCAACAAAACGACACATTTACTATTGAATCTGGTTTAAACCGTTCAACAATAATATCGCGAAATGCAGTTTTGTATTGTGCAACAACTCTTGCTGACATTCTAATAAAAATGAGTTTGTAAGCCTGCAATTCCAACAATATCAATCAAGTCAATTTTCAACAAGAATATTCGATTTATTTTTATTCCAACAAAATCAAGGAAATTTTCAACACAAGTGTTCCATTTTGCATTTGCTGAGATTTGGTTGTTGATAACATGAGCGATTCAACTCATATTCCTGTTATTGAATCGAGGAGACCAAAACCTTCTGTCACTGCAAAGTGTCCAAACTGTTCTGTAGTCATTGAATTCTATCTTCCTGTCACTCCAGCTTATGCCTTTTCTGTTTATAGAGTGGTTTGATTTTCTTGTAGAGACTTGTTCTATTCCAACTTCTGCTGTTCAACAGACTCCATCTGTTTCTGCTAAAAAAACTACAAATGCCTCGGACCAATCTACCAACAATGCTTCCAGTCGCAGACCAAAAACTACTCTTGGAAAAACCGGTTCAGGTAATTGTAAAACCTTTGAAAAAGGATGATTCTTGTCTTCTAATTTCATGATTGATTTAGATGACCATCCAATCGATATGGAATATTATGATTTGTTGGAGATTCCTGCTACGGCGTCTAGTGCTGTCATCAAAAAGGCGTATTATCTCAAGGCTATGAAGTGTCATCCTGATAAAAACTTGGACAATCCATTGGCTGAAGAAATGTTTAAACAAATATCTGAAGCTTATCAAGGTACAGACTTGATGGTTCATGTGTATCCAGAAAAACTATACTAATGTTTAAATTTTAGTCTTGTCGGATCCACAGCGTCGTTCATTTTATAATATTCATGGAAAGGCTGCTGCAGTGGGTTCTGAAGGATCTGTGTTTGTCGATCCAGAACAATTCTTCAGACAACAGTTTGGTGGTGATATGTTTGTTGATATCATTGGTGAAATATCCATTGCTCGGGATTTTAAAGACGTCATGGCTGCAAAAGATCCATCCAAATCTAATGACTTGACCACTGACTCCAACTCTTCTACCATCAACTCGGAAACAGAAGTGCCATCTACAGATGCTACCACTCAAGCCAAACAAGACTCGGCATTGATGTACAAACAACGTCGTTTGATTCGTAAAGAACGTATTCAGAAACTGTCGCATAATCTTGTTGCCAAGCTTTCGCTTTACACTGATGCGTTTCCATTTCCTGATCCTACTTCTTCTCCACTTTTGGGGATCTCTTTGAATAGCTTGGCAAACGAATCACTCGACACGTTTCGTGCTTTATCTACTATCGAAGCTCAACAACTTGCTTTGGAAAGCTATGGACCCGAATTGTTGAGAGCGATTGGATTCACCTATGTTTTAAAAGCTGATCAGTGGATTGCCAAAATTGCTGCAGAGGATGGGGGTGCTGTGCTATGGCATCGAGTATGGGGACTTGGGTCTCGAGTAAGCGGAGCTATCAAAGAAAAAACTCACATTTTAAACGAGACGGTCGGGACGTTTCGTACGGCTCTAGATCTGCAAAGCAAATTCACCAAACTTCAAGAAATGGATAAAAAAACAAAAAAAACAGGTGAAGGAGGTGAAAAGACTGTTGATGAGGACGTCGAAGTCGAACCGACACCTCAGGAGCAAGAACTCCGCACGCAGCTGGAATATGAAGCGGCAACAAAGGGACTAGAAGCTTTGTGGAGAGGATCCAAATTAGAAGTTGAATCTGTGCTACGCGATGTATGCGACGATGCTCTCGGAGATGCACCTGGTGTGTCGACCGAGTTACGTAAACGACGTGCTGATGCTTTGCGGATCTTGGGTCAGGTTTATGAAACCGTTGGTATTGCTGCTGCTGCCAGTTCCGTGCCCAATACTTCCACTGGCACATCTAGCCAACAGCCTCCATTGCCTCCTCGAAAATAGAGTGTTTCCCGTACCCTACCATTTTTATATTCACCACCTGTTTTGATATTGCTATTCCGTATTTTATGTTGCTGCTACTTTTTGGAGAGTATTGCTATACTACCGAATACAACAATCATTGCTATTTTTTCCAAATCAATAAAATAATTGAGCTATTGTATGTTCTACCTCTAATTTCCATTGGATAGCTTTCAAGTTTAAAAAACAAATTATCTTGGTAAATAAGGTTTTAATAGTTGAATAAACATGGCAGATGCCACAATAAGCCTTGTAGAGAATTGAACGAGTTCCATATACGACATTACCAACCACCCGATTCGTCTTGAAATGTGTCCCATGGATTGCTAGTTCCGGTAGATAGACTAGCTAGTTTTGCTTTGGGTGATGGCGTGTCCAGTTCAACCGGATCATCATGAGAATGACCACCACTTGTAGCATGGCTTAATTTCATTTCCATTTGCTCACTTAATGATAAAGCAGATACATTGCCCACCTCGGTCTTGTCATTCGTGTCGGGAGGTGGAAATGAAGCAAAATCAGCTACATGAGCAGGTGTAGGAATTTGATCATTTGAAGTAGTTGTAAAAGAAATCGGAGGTGATAACGAATCTCTCCTACTAGGCAAATCATCAAATGATTCGTCGATAAGCGATCCAGATTTGGGTCTCAATGTAGGTACAATAGTACTTTTGGGTCGACCAGGTAGAGGTGGTGCAGGCATACTCACTGGTCGTGTACCAGAAGTAGCATGAATCGTATCGGATTTGCTATGACTTACAACGGCTCCCAATCGAGCTTGAAGTGACGTTGACGGAGCATTCGCAGTAGCTACAGATGCAGCAGCGCGTTGAGAAAGTCCAGTCGATCCATCTGCACCTTCTTTTGGTAAAGGAGCAGTACCAGCAAAAGCTGGTTTTGAGTGCTGTGTAGTGGGTGTTCCAACCAAAGTCCGTGTTTCCATCTGTTTCATATGTTCATTGATTGCAGTCCACCAATCCGCACTTTCAACCATGGTTTTCCCCTTGAATTTGTGTTTGATATCTCGTCCAAACACACCCGAGTTTTTCCCAACAAAAACAATGTCTTTGGGATCTTTATCGCCAAGATTAAGTGGAAGCAAGGTGTATTCTGCCAAATCAAGCGTCAGCTCAGGCATTTCAAGTATGGAATCAGCCGAAAAGTCCGGTTTGTTGCCAGTAGGAGAGAATGGACCGCCTGCAGATGAAGTGTCAGAATGCGTAGCTCCTATGGGTGTTGATGAAAGTGGTGGCAGAGTATGCAGATATCCAGAAGTGGACAGGACAGCATTGACGGGCCGATAGGATTGTTTAAACACACCTTCTTTGCGCAGTAGCGATCCTTGTCGAACAACGCGAATGGCAAGATCGTCACATCCGTCATAGATGATGTTTGCAGGATCAACCAAGGGCACATTGTTTTGGTCAATAAATCAATCACAGTTGCTTGCTCTAAAAATTGCCCAGTCTTTATCTGCCTCCATTGTATCCAATAACTTGGCCATATCTCTGGATTGATCCAACCTTTTGGTATAATTTGAAGTTTGCCATTCGTAAAAAGATGCTAAACCAACACGAATATTCTGTACAATCACTTTTTCAAATGCATTGATAGAGTGTTGTTGAATAATTCGAGTTTTTACAAATCAGCATCACTGGAAATAGTTACTGTTATTCAGACAGTCAGTTGTCCAGACATTACAGTTGTAATATTACACATTTTCCATTGTTGCTGGATACCAATATGCCTACATTTGAAGATGAATACTACCAACAAAATATTCCATTAGAACTGCAACTGTTGCTTCAAGGTCATGGACATATCGTTGTAAATCGTTTCAAATATCAGTCTGTTACCCCATTTTAAACCAATCCATCAATCTCTGATTCGGCTCGCTCAATACTCTCCAGCAACTTGCATTCCATTCCTACAACGACTTGTTCATCGTATCCATGTTTACAGCGTTTGTTGTTTTGACTGCAATTTGCATCAACCCAGAATAATGGAATTTACCATTTCCTTTGTAGAATTTGTCCATAATGTCTGTTTTAATGTAATCTTTTGACTGTTTTTGGATACAAAAGTCGACAATCATTGCTTTATCATCGACTTGACCGCAGTTTGATGAGTTGACAGCACAATCGCATATACACAGGATATGAAATATCAAATCCAATCAAAGTTGGGTATTGTTTGCTGTATCCTTGTCAACTCGGACAATAGCACCACATGGCAATACTTGATAGCAATGTAGACTGTTTTGGTGCTGTGAGATGCAATGATACAACGAGTTTCAGGACCCATTCCAATATGATGCAGCATATTGCAGACAAACAGTTCATTTGTATCTGGTTGCCTGATATCTCTTACATTGTATTGTGTGGGTCTGTACTGACGAGTCTTGATGTAGCAACAAACAGTCAGTTCCGTTGTTGACATTCCAAGCGAATCTGGTCTGGATTCCGTTTTTCTTTGGAGATAATGAGATGTCAAATAACTTGTCAATGTCAGCCTTGTAGTGTTGAATGACAGTATTGATTGACAGCAGTTTGAATCGGTTCCGTATTTCCATCCAGATACTGTGATATTGGCAAGAAGGATCTTGCAGAGTTGTTGGTTGTTGATGAGCAAGTTGGATATAAAGTTGTTTTCAATCAATCCGTTGACAGTCATGATAGCATACTTTGATTTGTATGTACGCAATACTGCTGTCATCTTGTGTATGGTGTTTCCTATTTCCACAAACGCATTCCATTTCCAGCTGTTTTTTGCAGACATTTGATGTTGTGTAACAATGAGGGTGTAAAATGTAGTACAGAAATAGACGACTAAATTACATTTATTCCAACGGATTTAGCACTCTTGTTCAAGTAAAACAGTATCATCCGATGTTCACTATACACTACTTGTACGTTGAATCATGCCAATCACTTGCTATTTTAACAAGCATGGAATATCACGGCACATATTGATGACCAACTAATAGCCGAGTGTCAACTTATTCCAGTTTTGGTTTATACTCATTTCTTAACCCTAACCCTTTTCAGAGTGAAGCTTTATAATCAACCATATGATATTTGAATGTATGGACAAATAGCGGCTCAACCAACATTGCGGATATCATATAAAGGAAGACTCTTCAAAGTTTGGCATTGACAACAAATCAACAACCCTGACAACAACACTAACCCTTAGGACGGCTACCCAAAAACATGCTTTTAATATTATCCACTCAATAACCGACATAAATACAATCCAAAACTTGACCTGTTGAATGACATTACAACTTGCTCAACCAAACCAATACAATGAAACTCGCAGTTGCTGTATTGTCATCAATCCTGCTTGCCTGCTCGGTTACTATTGCCAATCCAGTTAAACCCAGTGAAACTACAAGCACCGAGTCTATCATCTCGCCAACTCATAATCCAAACGGTATAGGTTTAGGTGGTCTTGATCCAATTCCAAACATCATCAAGGATTTGCTCAAGGAGTACATAGAGCTAGAGCATGGCCGTGATGAACAAGAAAAACTATATGGCTCGTTAAAACCTCAATATGATCATCAACATAAACTGGTAAAGCACTTGAAAAAAAAGATTCAAGTTTTGGGATATATATCTCAAACAAGCGGTGACGGTCCAGAATATAATGTTGAAATTCGGAAGACTAAGCTTGATTTTGAAATCCAAAAATCCAAACTTGCCAATCTTAAAAAAAGTCTTCAAGGCTGCGAGTCCAAGTATAGTTATCTTACAGTTAAAGTAGAGCAAATCAATGTAGAGCTTGTGGATCTCATTTTTGGAGAATCTTGGAATCCTAAATTATTTGGTCGCAAACTTTATGATATCAACTCAAATCCTTTGATTAGAAGCTACCTTGAAGAACAATCATTAAAATACAACAAGAGTCTTGGTCGAAAACCTAGTGATCAGCAACAGCGCAGAAAACCTAGTGATCAGCAAAGTCAAGATTCACAACCATCACCGGATACACCATCTGGATCTGTATCTGGATACTTTGAACAAAGAGTTCCTTCCAATAAACGGAAAGGTTTTTCCAAGTTTATGAATGGATTGAAATCACTCTTTCAGCGATCCAAAAATGACGATTCATCCAATTGATTTGAATGCTAATCTGGACTCGTTTCAACCGATTTAATTGTCATTCTACAACTGTATTTTTGATTTAATTCACAATAAAATTGTATGTGCATGCATTATATCTGATTATTGTACACAGTCTTGGTTGGCATGATATCATATTGTACATTGACACTTGTATTTCCAATACGATACAGTTGATTGTATATTGCATAGTTGTACACATTGATGATGCTGACATGCATGTGTGTATTGTGTCGATATGATATTGCTTTACATGTCGTATTGACACATAAAACACCAATACCAACAATAGTCATGTGTGTTGATATCAGATCCGACCAATTTGACTGGTTTGACTCGTTGATTGTGGTGTCGATATGGTTGCATCAATAGCCTGACTGATCACACACATCAGTCGCAATATCAACTTTGTAGTGTGTCAAGTATCACATGTTGAATATACAATGCCAACAATATGGTCATTATACACATGTTGATGTATGCAGTGATTGTATACTGGTCGATTGGTGCAATATGATCACACATACTAATGGAATGTGATAGTCATGATATTTGCAGCAGTATACCATATTGCAACTGTTGATATTGCGCATCCAATATTGGCATGATCATCCAGATATACAGTGATGGATTCAAACAATGCATACCATGATTGAGCTACGCGATCATGATGTGTATTCAATCAATACCATGTATTGCCAATGCAATAGTATGCGTGATCATTGTGCACCAAACAATTACGATACACACTGGATTGATCCAATACATGCACGGCTTGAACACATCACACAATCAAACATGGACACACCACATTAGAAATACATATAATATCAGTTTGTCACTAATGAATTGTATTCAATCGAGTTTATTGAGAGTTGTTGCGTGACTCTTGACAGTGTGGTGAGTGTTTTCAGGTACAACTGCTTGACCAGTTGTAGTTGATGTATCCATAATGGGAATGAGCAGTCAAACAACGTGTAATACAAAATTAGCAAGTTGATGGATATAATAAAACTGACTATTTATTTAATAGTGCATAACATTGATCTTTCTGTAATCGAAATGATGTACATGAACACTAATATGATCTGATATTGCATACTCACAGCATATTATCATTGTGCAGCATGTTGATGAGTAACCACTTCACTTGAACATCAGAGCTTTCAATACCATCTTGTGATGATCAGAATATACTTGCCGCATGATGTCGTTGCACAGCATATTTTAATGAACCCAACCCTAATACCGACTTTCAGTTTGAACAACGAATCATCATGTAAACGCAACTCCCTTCAAAACTACCCTGACAATAACACAAGCTGCTTAGAACGGTCGTTCAAAAATCATGCTTGCAATATCATACACTAATATATAAATAAAACTAAACATCAATCTGCCAAATGACAATCATTTACAACTTGCTCGACCAAACCAGTAAAAATGAAACTTTCGATCGCCATATTGTCATCGATCCTGTTTGCCTGCTCGGTCACTGTTGCCAATCCAGTTCTTGACAGTTCGACTACAAGTACTGCAACCAGCACTTTGTCAGCATCTCCTAGTGCAACTGCAACTAGCGGGACTAGTCATTCAAAGTCTTTGGATCCATATACTGTATATATGAATAATTGCTATCCGATTAGTTTTGATGCATTGAAAATGATCCAACTACTTGCATTAGATTCACGTAAACTTGACAGACTATCGAAAGATATTAGCAAGAAAAACGCTAAAATCGACGAAAGAAAGAAAATGGTCAGTGAGCTGAAGAAAGAAATTGACCATTTTAAGAATGATCCTTTGAGCACCGAGTCAGATACTGTCGAACTCGAATCTACGCTTACTAGCCACAATAAAGCTTCCAGGAAACTCAGGAAAGGTCTAAGTATACTCTTCAAGAAACATTCAAGAACATGTCAGGAAACTACCGAATTACGAAGGCAACTTAAAGGCTACTTTATGGAACATCATTCAAGTGAAGAAATAATTACTGGTGGTGGACCGTATCTAAATAGATACCCTGTATTTACAAGTTGCTTCCGTAGCTTCTACAATGGTGTACTTCAACGATTACCAATACTCAAGTATGGTGCGATCCTTGAAGATCCTGGTGTTTGGCAATAAACTTTTGGACCAGATTCGTTACATTGTTGGAGTTGAGTGAACCATCACAGTCCCATCCAGTATATGTTGTAATGCAGCGTGTATTGCATGGTGGTTTAATTGTCATGTGTCATGCATCCAATGTCATTCATTCAATAAACATTGTGTATTGTCAAACAATAGTGTATTATACTAATAGTTTGATCATATTGCACCAATCAACTACTATGTGCTGACATGACTGATCATTCGGTGTGCTACACATATTGAATGCATGCAAATCCATGACTGTCAACTCCTTGTTGTTGAAATGGGTTCAGATCACCATCAGCTCACTCACTCGTTGCGCCGATGTGATTGCATGATCAACCTGACACCAACCAAACCACACTCGAATATATATGTTCCAGTCATGTGCATGGTGTATCGATTGTCAACTCACAATGTCAACTCCAACACATTCCACCATGATTATGGTCACATCACACCATGCTGATGTATGTCGATCGGTATCACATTGAAACCAGTTATCATCCAATGACTGCAATGCAATACCGTGCATGTATTGTGACTGATATGCTGTGCACCATCAGCAAGTGTGCAACTGTCACTTGATATATCGACTCTGATATGCAACAACATGCTGTGTTTACCATGATCATGTTTTTGATCAATCTCGGACTCATGATACATGATTTGTCATGTTGAATCGTGTGGATGTGTCATGGACTGCAATTTAGTTGCAGACACACATATGTTTGACATTGACTGATGCATACTGTGTAACGACTGATCAGTGCAAGTGTAATTTCACACTTGGTGGTATTGTGCATTATGGTTGTTTGACAATGGATGAATGCTGGATTAGTCGGTTATATGCAACCCATCTGAATCAACCTATTTGGACAAACACTCGATGTAACTGACAACAATGTGTATACATGGCTGTTGGATCAATCGAGTTTCTGCTGGTACCGCCATACATGAGTTGATCAACAAACTTGTAGCACTGCCAAAATACACCCGTATGGTTTGCTTGCATGAGATAATCTTGTGGTTCAACACCCAAGTTTATTTTACAGTCGTATTCACGTAAAATCAAATACTTTTCTGTATTGATCTTGTAATGATTGTCTTGGAATAAACAATTGTTACATATTCATTGTTGTTGTTGGAAATGGAAATGGATTATTGAAGCTACAAGTTGTTTGGTGTTTGGAATGGCTCAGCACACACAGTCATTCCAAACACCAAAGTAATTGTCAGCAGGGTTCAAGAATGGACAGTATGATGCTGTATAGTGTAGTTCCAAACCTCGCGCTGTTTGTTGAATAGTTGGTAAACCATGTCTAATTAGAGTTGTTTTGTGGAATGGAATGTTGTCTAGAATAAAGTGACCGTTTGGAACCGTTTGGGAATGTTGCATGTCACTGTTTAACAAGTTAATATTACAGCATTCACTGCTGCCTTGATCAATCTCTCAACACACTGATCGTCATATGAAACACACACTATTAGACTATAGTTTTGAACTGAAATGTTGTT